TCTGCGCATCTTCTGCTCTGCAAAATTCATGCTCAAAATCACTATAAAGTTCAGCTGGAAGTTTCCTTCTCCCTGTGGGCTTTCCCTAATTCCACTGGCAGCCCCCTCCCCTCAAGGGCCCCTAAGAGATAAAGTCAGAAATGAGTTCCCTGGGCACCAGGAGTGCCTACAGGGCTCTTCCTGCTACTGCTTCTACTTTTATATTTTGCTCAACTCTCTAAATTCGCCTGAGTTCTAGGTAAGGTTAAATCCTTCTCCCATGATGTGGGTTTTCAGGCGCTCCAGTGAGGATGTGTGTTTGGAAGCGGACTCTCCCCCCTCACACTTCGAGCACTCACAGTTTTTCAGCTGTCTCTTGGAGTTTGCAGCGGCAAGCCGCTTCTTTCAAAGGTCAGTGAATTCTTTCAGTTTTCTGGTATGTTCCTGCAGCAGTTCTTGGATCAAAAGTTCACAGTGTGAGTCTCCACATGCTATTCTGTCTGTCCAAGTCAGTCCTGCCCCCCATCTGGCAGCTATTTTTATTATGCCTTCTCTTGCCATGCTTGAGAATGTCCAGTGAATGTCTTCCAAGGAAAAACTTTGTATACTCTATTTTCTACCATGTTCTTTCATAATCAAATCCTAAATTATCTTTCTGGGTGTGATGAATGAGACAAACATATGTCTGGGATGCTTTCCCATATCACTTTGAAGCAGTCAGCATCCAAAAAGAAACAGATGGCACACTCAATATGGATAAATTGAGGATATTTTAATAGAGGGTCTATTTATAATGGTGTAGGCCAGATTAGGGAAACCAGAAAGAGAAAGTGTAGTACCCTGGAGCTAGCAGTAGGGGGAGCTATTACTTCCTCCCAACCCCCTAACCTAAAGCTCAAGGAAAAAGAGCAATTGCTGCAACCCAGAGAGCTTAGCCATCTGGAGAGGGCTTCTGACAAGAGCCGTGGCCTTCTGAAGAAGCATGCAGCCAACCTGTGGAGATACAGCAATAGGGAAACAGGTGAATAAATATCCTGGCCTCAGTCTTCTTCCACTCTCAGATTCCTTAACGATATTCACCGTTGGCCAAACTCAAACCACAGGCAAACAAAGCAGCTGAGCACCCCCAGAATAACGCTGTTCTTTGTTAGATCTTGGAAAGAGTGACATCCCTACTCCATTCTAGCTTCCACTTTTTTTTAAGTTTGTTTTTGTTTTTGTTTTTTTGAGACAGGGTTTCACCATGTTGGCCAGGCTGGTCTCGAAGTCCTGACCTCAGGTGATCCACCTGCCTCACCTTCCCAAAGTGCTGGGATTACAGGCGTGAGCCACCGCGCCTGGCTAGCTTGCCACTTTTTAGGTCTTTTTTCTCAGCCGCACAAGGATGACTCAAACACCCCTAAAATGCAGTGTGGGCAAGTATTTTTAGTGGGCAAGTATTTTTGATGGAAGTCTACAAGTACTGAGTTCACAAGTACCTACGTGCTTACTTCACTCAAACAACCTCTGGACCTAAATGTCTCTTTCCTAGTTTAGAAACTAGTGATTAGCAAGTAGTTAGTGATTGAGATCCAGGTTAAAAGTAAAAATTGGCTGGGCAAGGTGGCTCACACCTGTAATCTCAACACTTTGGAAGGCCAAAGCAGGCAGATCACTTGAAGTCAGGAGTTCGATAACAGCCTAGCCAACATGGTGAAACCCCATCTCTACTAAAAATACAAAAATTAGCTGGGTGTTGTGGCAGGTGCCTGTAATCCTAGCTATTTGGGAGGCTGAGGCATGAGAATCGCTTGAATCCGGGAGGTGGAGGTTGCAGTAGGCCAAGATCATGCCACTGCACTCCAGCCTGGGTGACAAAGTGAGACACCATCTCAAAAAAAAAAAAAAATTGCCTTAATT